TTGGTTGCATTCGCCTGAAGCAGGTGATGCAAACACCTACAGTAGGACCCAAAGCACGTGCGCGTAAGAAGACACAAAACATTGCTTAATGTGCGGAGCTCGCCGTTGTTGACCTTCTTTCTTCGGATTTGTCACAAGGCTTGATTGTTTTTCTGAAGAGTTTGTTTGCTTGCGCTTGCCACATTAGCGCCTAGTTTATGGAAGAGTATGCTTGAGAGAATAGGCTTTTTGATTCCACATTTGTTTTTGACTTGCTCAAGCTTCTTGGCTGCTGGCATTGCCAGGGTGAGCGCTAGCTGGTGCCCCGTGCAGATCCAAGGCGCTCTCAAATCAAATTCTAGACTTATGGGGGGCTAGCCGGACAAGTATATTTTGATTCAGCTGAATTGTCGGCAGGTCTGAAAGTTTTTCTTGTCCAATTTGTTTGACTCTCATGTTGACTCGGACTGTTTTCGTTTCACTGGAGGCAATGGCCGAGGCAAAGCTTTCAGCAGCTGAACGCCGACGTTTGCGCAAGGCTGGGTGTGAATAATATTGCTATAATATGTTATTATTGGTTATTTCCAACTGATGTTTTCTATTCAGAGCCAGGAAGGAGGACATCAGCCTTAACAATCCAAGAGAATGTTTGCCTGAAGACACATGTCTTTCTTTCTGCTCGTGAGTGGACATTTCCTGATGAGGAGCAAGATGCTAGGGCGAGGGCAGAAGTGAAAATCCAGAAGTTGCAAGCAGAGGAGGGCAACGTGGGAAAGGAGGGAAAGGAAACCAAAGACGTGGAGGAGCTTGATCCAAGCAAATATCGCGAGAATCGGATCGTAAAATTGAGTGGTATTGACGCCTATCCGCACAAGTGGCACGTCACTATGTCGGTCCCTGACATCCAAGAGAAATTCAAGGATCTTACAGATTCTCAAGAGACAGAAGTGACGGCGGCAGAGGTCCGAATTGCGGGCCGCGTGACTAGCAAGCGGACTTCCGGCGCCAAGCTAATTTTCTACAACCTGACAGCAGACGGCCAAAGCATTCAGCTGATGTGTCAAGAGCAGTTGCATGAAGGCAACGCCAGCAGTCCGTCGTTTGAGGAGATCCATTCCAGGATCTTCCGCGGTGATATCATTGGAGTTCGTGGATGTGTTGGAAAGACGAAGCGTGGAGAGCTGTCTGTTTTTCCCAAGCAGGTGGAATTGTTGGCTCCTTGCTTGAAAATGCTGCCAAAGAGTCACGCTGGACAAGGGCTCAAAGACCAGGAGGTGAGGTACCGGAAGCGGTACTTGGATTTGCTCATGAACGACCATGTGAGAAAAACTTTCCTCATCAGGGCTGAGATAGTGGACTTCATCCGGCAGTTTTTGAGAGACAAGAGGTTTGTCGAGGTGGAGCCGCTAGACTCCATACGCAGGTTTGATTCGAAAATCTCGTGCCTTCAAATCGTTTACCACTGCCTTTTGTAGAAAGGAAAAGAGACTATATATAGATAAGCTGAGCTGCTCAGGACACCAATGATGACTATGTTGGCAGGTGGAGCGTCGGCGAAACCATTCATTACCCATCGCAATGAGCTGGATCTGGATTTGTACTTGCGCGTGGCTCCAGAACTTTACCTCAAGATGCTTGTGGTTGGAGGCACGCGCTTGGAATTCAAAGTGTGTATGAGCTTGATTATCGCGGTCTGTTCGTAGTGCCTTGCAAGGCTTAGACCGCGTGTTTGAGATCGGGCGCAACTTTCGAAACGAAGGGATTGATTTGACGCACAATCCTGAGTTCACTGCCTGCGAATTCTACATGGCTTACGTCACTTGGATCCGTTTTATTCAGAAGGTTTTTGCCCTGACATGTTTTGCCCTGACATGTTCACGACGCAATTGTCAAGTCCACGTCAGACAAAAACCTCCATCAGGCTGATTACCACGATCTCATGGACATGACGGAGGAGCTTTTGAGTTCCATGGTGATGAAGATCCGGGGAAGTTATGTTTTGACCTATCATCCGCATGGGTCGGACAGCCTTCCAATTGAGATTGACTTTACTCCACCATGGCCACGAGTTTCTATGGTCGAGTGCGTTGAGAAGCTATCTGGCAATATGCTGGGGCGCGACTTCTCCAGTCCAGAAACTGTGCAAAAGCTGGAGAGCCTTGTGGCGAAACTGGAGATTGATTGCCTAGCACCAAGAACAGCAGCACGGCTTTTGGACAAATTATGTGGACATTTCTTGGAGGCCGTCCGTTTTGGGCTCGTTGGCGCTCATTCCGATTCCTTCATGTTTCTCAACTTGTCGAGCATTTCCTGTCTAGAAAGGTCCAGACGCATCATGTGGTTCTGCTTCCTTGCACGCTCAAAGAAGCTCGGATCACATTGATTCGTGGTGTTGGATTGGGTTCGCCTTGCTTGCGCAGGACCAGATTTTGAATCCGACCTTCATCACGGAACATCCGCAAGTCATGAGTCCTTTGGCCAAATGGCATCGAAGCAAGCCTGGTCTCACGGAACGTTTTGAGCTGTTTGTGCACACCAAGGACGGCTTGCCGCACTCATTGACGTTAAGTTTTTGTAAGAATAAATGAGCCAAATCATTGGCGCGAGCGCTTCTTCAAGGAAGCTCCCCCCGCCTTTAGGGCAGCTGGGGGGCTTCTGAGCTATCCTGCGTCCTAGGAGCGTCCTATACCTAGTAGCTACCTCTCTTACTAGCTACCCCCAGGGCTTTAAGAAAAAACTGTGTAGACATAGAGAGGAGTGCACAGTGCGCCAAGTCAGAGACCTTCGTGTCTCCGTTGATCAAGGAGCTTTGCAATGCCTACACGGAGCTCAACGATCCACATCGGCAAATGGAATGCTTTCTCATGCAAGCTCAGGCAAAAGACGCTGGCGATGACGCGCAGCTGCAAAGTGTCAAGGTTTCAAGACCCCACAATTGGCTGGTTGATTCATGGCGTTTCTCTATTGTAGTGCATGCGGCTGCATGCCCACATTGTCGGACACATAAAGTTCAGTTGAGTCTGAAGTATCGACGTGGGTAGCTCATGCAAGGACGAGGCGCAGGCAATTCGAGTGGCAAGAACTTGTGCCAGATGAGGTGTGCCCTTGGAAGAAAGCTTGATTGGGCTACCTTTCTGTATGTACTGTATGTTGTTGTTTATCAAAGGTTGAGAATTCGCCCAAACCGCAAGGGCACATGATTGATTCTGTCTCAAGTTATTGTACTCCCAAGTGCTAAAGTCGTTGCGGTTTCATGTTTTTGGCTTCACTACACTGTGACTGTGACTAGGGTTTTTCAGCAGTTGTTGCGAAGCAGTTTTGTGTCTAGGAGTGTAGACAGGGTAGACATTCGTTGTTTGGTCATTTCATACTATGTATTTGTTATTTCTTGGTGATTGGAGCTTGGAACGCAACTAGCTTCAAGTTGCGCTTCCGAACCAATGTTGGGACAGAAAGGGGGCAGGGCTTATGTGCTTCGTGCATTTCTTTCTACATACAAAATTAGGGGGCAGCTGTGTGGAGTGTATTCGGCCAAGAGTGAGAGCAAGTGGCTACTTGGCTATTGCTTAAGTGTGTGGTGGCCGCTGCTGCTGCACTGCTGTTGCTGCCCTTGCTGGCCTTGCTGCTGCTGGTGCTGTTGGTTGTCCTTCTTCTTTTTCTTCTTCTTCTTCTTTTTGTGAGTTGCCATCTTCTTTCCCTGGGTGTCAACCTGGTCTTGTACTGGGTGCTTGTGTTTACCCTATCGCGGTCAAGATCTCACATCGAAACCGATGTGCCATTAGGGGAACATACTTCTTGATCATAATGAGTCCAGATCTGCGTGACACACTGGCTTTCGCGCGTCCACACTGCAAAGTCTGTGAAGCCAATATACCGCTGCATTGCTGGTTGGCTGCTGCAGGTTGGCTTGCTGCTGGCTGGCTGCTGTTGCTTGGCGGCGGCTGCTGCCGCTGGTTGGCAGCAGCTGCTGGTTGTCTGCTGTTGGTTTGCCGTTGGTTGGCTGCTGCTGGTTGGCTTCTACTTGTTTGCTGCTGGCTGTTGGTTCGCTGCTGCTGCCTTGCTGCTGCTGGTTGGCTGCTGCAGATTGGCTGCCGCTGCGGCTGCTGCTGATGCTGCTGCTGCTGGTTGGTGTGCTGCAGGTTGGCTGCTTTTGGTTGGCTGCTGGTACTGGCTGGCTGCTGCAGATTGGCTGCTGCTGCGTTGTGGCGTGGTGTCCCAGTGTGATTTGGTCGCCGCAGCTGCATTGCAAGGACTTTTTGGGTGTAAAGTGGGTCTGGGTCTTCTGGCCCAACACACCCGAGGACTTGGTGAATATGTTTTCGCAGCCCGCAGGACAAGCTTGGTTTTTAGAAAATCGTCGGTGTGCCATGGGGATTGCCATTGTTGCAGCGCATATGTGTAAGCAAAGGCCTCTTCACAAGGAGCGATTTGCAGAGTTCATGTTTTGAAGCGCTCATGTTCACATATGAGGAACCCGCGCACGCCAAAGAAGGCAAAACGCAAGCTATCCATGGGCTTTGTTGATGATGTGGGATTCGCTCCTGTGATGTGGAGTTGGTGAAAGCGGCGTGCCATGGGGATGATGTGGTTTCTGGCCTCTGATGTGGGCGGGCATGCCCGCTCGTGCGGGTCTCGCGCGGGTCGCGGCGGGGAGGTTCCACAGTCCGGGCACGTTGGTTTGCTCCTGCTGGTTGACTGCTGAATAGCTGTTGCTGGTTGGCTGCTGCAAGCTGGGTTTGCTGGTGCTGGTTGGGTGCTGCTGCTGGTTTGCTGCTGTTTGGCTGCTACTGCCACTGGCGCTGCCTGCGCTACCTGCTAATCGTTGTTGCACAAACTCTATATATATATAATATAACTTAACTCGACTCTATCATTAAGGCAGCGTCCCCTTGTAAACGGGGCTTGGAAAACATGGTGTTGGCTTAGACGGCCTGTTTGGTGAAGCCCCGTCCCATGCGGAAACAAGTGCTGCAAGGCAAGGGCTTTGCCGTGGCTTAGTCGTGGCGTGGTGTCACCGTGTGATTTGCTTGCCACAGCTGCTTTGCAAGGACGTTCGCGTCCGCCAAAAACATGGTAACACGGCTTTTCGCAACCGTGCGTTTTTGATTGTGGGTACATTTTTAAAACATGGAATTGTGCGACTTACGACAAAAAGTTGTTCAGCGGCCATTTTGCCCCATCCCACCCCACCCCACCCCCGTTAACGTGAACGTTAACATAACCCATACCCATAGCATTAACGCCCCACGCAAGTGCACATGAACGTTGACATGCCCCACCCCACCCCAGTTAACATGAACGTTAACGTAACCCATAACATCAACGTCCCACGCAAGTGCACATGAACGTTAACATGCCCCACCCCACCCCGTGCAGTTAACATGAACGTTAACGTAACCATACATAACCCATAGCGCCGACGTCCCGCGCAAGTGCGCAAAAACGTTAACGTGCCTCACCCCACCCCACCCGACCCCACCCCAACTACTTAGGACGTACAAGAACCAACAAAAAAGTGAACGCCTCCACGGTGTGAAAATCCGTGTCACCGACAACATGGTGTGCCATGGGGATGGGGAGGGGAAAGCGCAAGGAATGAGCAGATATTTTTTTCATGTTTGGAGAACAATTCCATGCAGTTTACCCTCGAGGTAGGAACTTAAAGGTGGGAGAAAAAGCACTTGTTCCGAAGCGGTGGGTAAGTTTTTACATTCGTGGGGTAAGTAAGCGGTGTGCCATGGGGGTGGGTCAAGTTCCTGTGTGATGGGGTAAGTTACCACGTCGGGTCGTCGGGTGAATTGGGCGATGACCAACTGGCACAAGGTTCCTCAGCGACAAGAACAACATCAAAGAGGTTATTCTATTCCCAGCGATGAAACCCCAGCTCCTTGGCAGTTTTGATTGGAACGTTCTGCGCGCGCTCTCTTGTTTTGCCTCTTCACATCTCTTCATAAATACCATGCAAGTTGGACGTGACTTCAGCTCATCCACTGAAGGTAGAGGGACATAGAAGCGGCCTGGACTTGTTTTTTCACCACGCCGTGAGCCAGATGCCCTTCCGGATTGAGTCAACAAGTGTGACTAGGAAAAAATGAGAAACAACTTTGTCAATCTTTTGTTGGAAGTCCAATTTTGGAGTGGCTCAGTCTCATGCGTCGCCCGTCAAGACAGGTGACGTAGTTGGAAAGCTGGTTGGTTGCGTTCGCCTGAAGCAGGTGATGCCACCTTGACATCCTAAATTTAGAGCGCGCCTTGATTCTAGCCAGAAAGGTGCTCAACTTGGCACTGAAGATTTGCATAGATTGGCCTGAAACAGGTCGCTGTGCTGCGATATTCCTCGCTCGCAAGAAAACTTTCTGAACAGTGTCATGCCTGGTGTATTTTTATCCGCCAGATTTGTTGAGATTGGAGGCTGTGACACCGCGCTTTTGCCACTTGCCACATGTATTCCTTGAACCCAAACCAAGAGGGTCTAAGCGCTGAGGTTGAGGACCTTGCATGAAAAGCTGATGCGGAGCAACACCTTCGACTACGCTGAAACCTGCACCGCAAAAAGGTTGATAAACAAAGGCCGCAGGTTTTTTCCCGAATGCGTAGCGAAGGGTTCCCGTTTATAGTTGGGGGTCTGGGGGTTGGAGCTGTGTTTGCATGGCTTGCGTCGCGTCGTCGTCTGTCAACGTCTGTCGTCGTTTGTCGTCGTCGTCGCGTCTCAAACTCGAGGCCATTGGGGGAAGCTTTTGCAAGGGCTTTTCATGGACGTGTCACGCGTCAGTTTGCGCCGCTATTGCGCTGTGATTTGCGTGACAATGACATGTCGCGCAAAAACGCGATGCATTTCGCTGCACAGGCGCAACGTTTTGTGAGATCTGCAGTTTGCTGCGCAGTTCCATTGGGATTAGCGCTTGGAGAGTCGTGTTTTGTGGTGTTGGATGTGGCCGTGCCATTGGGATTTGCGTTTCAGGGTGTGGCATCGAAGCTCGGTTTTCGTGACAAGTCTCAGCTGAAATGGCGATTTTGGTGGATGGGAGTGTGCTCAGAACGGGTCGAAATCATTCCAAACGAGTGGTGTGGTGCAAATTTTGTTGAAGCTCACATGAGATGATTGTCACTTTTGGTGGCAGGCGCAGGACTTTGTGCGGTTTTTAAGGCGTGGAAGTGCGATTCTCGTGGCAGGCGCAGGGAATCGTGAGGTTGCAAGGTGTGACGGAGGTGACATTTCGTAGCAGGCGCAGTACTTTGTGCGCGTTAGACGCGTGGACGCGGAAAGATTCGTGGCAGGTGCAGGGAATCGTGAGGTTGTGAGTTGTGGTAGAGGTGAATGTCGCTGTCACATTGGGATTGGCGTGTGAGCGGATGTTGCTTGGAGGGGCTGGAATCGCGAAACTGGTCGGCAGGGCTGCGTGATGTGTGTGTGTGTGTGTTCTCCGATGGGCGTTTCCGCTTGACTTTTGGAGGAAGTCTCGTACGAAACGCTCGTTTTGCAGACTTTGACGTGTGAGTTTTTGAGGAAGTCTCGTACGAAACGCTCGTTTTGGAGACTTGACGCGCAACTCTTGCGGAGATCGTGCGTGTCGAGTGTGCGAAACGCAGGCGAGAGTGCGATTTGTCCCATGCGCGCGCAACCCTCTGCGGAGATCGCGCGCGAAATGCAGACGAGAGTGCGATTTGTCCGGTGCCCGTGCAACCCTCTGCGGAGATCGCGCGTGTCGAGCGCGCGAAATGCAGGCGAGAGTGCGATTTGTACGCGGAGTATCTGGGGAGCTGAAAGATGAGAATTGGCGACTTGGTAGTACAACTTCAGTACGCGGAGTATCTGGGGAGCTGGAAGAGGAGAAGCTGTCCCCAGGTAAGTTAAGCCCATTGAAGTGGGGATGATATGGAAATGAGTCTTGCCCAGGTGCACATCTGGTTCATTGTCCTCATCATCCTCTTCGCTCAATTGACTCACATGGCTTTGGTAAGAAAGGAAAAAAGAAAAATATTTGTTTCTATTTCCTTCTGAAAGTTTCTTTTGACAAGCCTTGCTTCTTTGGATAATATATGTTGTGTTTTTTCATGGTTTGTGTCGGGTACTGTCGTTCTTGGGACGTTGGCGT